GTCTCATATTAACCTAAGAGAGCAGTGCTTGAAAATGGCAACTCCCCTCTACTTACTCCAGGGCAATAAGGATTAACAGTAAATGTTGACCTAGCCTGCAACACCCACATCCCAAGAATATTTAAATAATTCAAATGATTATTAGAAATACCAGACAGCAGAGCTAACTATTTAACAATCTGAGTGAGAGAGAAAAAGAGTAGACTCCAAGTCCTGATCGTGCAAGAAGATATTGAGGACAGAGGCCAAGGTAAGAAGTTAATTTCAATCAACAAGAACCTTGGTTCACTTCATTTGGGGCACACTCCAAGTTGGCCTCCGAGAATTCGCTTGTAAGTAGGGGTTAGAAATAACTTGCCTGTTAAGCTAGGATTTCTCGTGTCTCCAGCTGTCGATTTGCTGCAACCACTGTTCCTCCTGATTCTCCCTACATCACCCCAATGGCCCACCAAATCTAACCAACAGTCCATCTGATCTTGACCCCACCCCCTCATCCCCACCCAGCCAACTCCAGCGGCCCACCCAACTCTGTTTGGAAGGGTAATACTTTCCAATTGCACTTTCCTGTACTTGGTACGACTTGGCAGGCCCATCGGTTCTCAGCTGATAGTTTTTCACCATATATATTTTCTCTAACAGTCTTCCCAATAAATAGCCTTAATACTGTTCATTGTGTCATTGCCTGTTAGAGAATAAGCGCCTTATTCTTACCATAAAAGCAAAAGCTTTTTGTTGGAAATAGTCAGCAACTGTGGCAGTATCTGTGGAGAGCGAAACAGTGAATGTTTTGAGTTTATAGCCTTTTGTCATAACTAGCAAAGTCAGAAGTCACACCACACCAGGTTATAGTCCAACAGGTTTATTTGAAATCACAGGCTTTCGGAGCGTTGCTCCATTGTCAGGTAAAGTCAGGAGCAATACTCCGAAAGCTTGTGATTTCAAATAAACCTGTTGGACTATAACCTGGTGTCAAGTGACTTCTGACTTTGTCTCCCCCAAGAGCAGCATTGGCACCTCCGCATTGTAACTGGCAAAAGTGAGGGATATAATAGGTTCCTTCAAGCAAGTTCAGAGACTGGGAAAGGAGAGAACAAAAGTCACCTGTTACTTTAATTCCTTGCCCAATCCTACTCTGACTTCTGTTTCCTGCAATTCTAATGATGCTTGAATTTGTTTAAATGCTTTGTAGCTTCAGCTTTGACCTTGAATTCAAGGATTTCAGATTGTAGCCTTCTGTGCTTTTTTTTTTCCTTCTCTTCTGTTTATATTTTGTTTGTGGACAGCATGTTGATGATTTTCTGTTTTTATTTCCTTTATTTCTTCTACCTGTTATCTACATTTGAGCACATTCCACACCTCTGATTTCATGTACTACTTTTTGTTTTCTTATGTGGAACCTAAGCAAATAGCTCTGGAACCCCATGTAGACACTCTGCCATCCACCTGAAATGTATCATATTTATAAGAGATACAAAATGGAATTAGTCCAGTGTGAATATTAGGAGTTGGAGCTAGTCTATTTTTTATTCAAGGATAGAGTAAGATTCTGCAGAAATGGTGGAAGGCACTTCATTGTGTATTGCAACTGCTCGCCTGTTACTTAAATTTGTTCCTTGATTTATAGCTTAATCTGAATCTGCCAGTGTTCTGCTTTCTGAAGTTCAATCAATCACCAGAGGTCTTTAGTCATATTTGGTAGACTAGATACAGTAACAAAAATTCCTGTTTGATGAGAGACAGCATGAAATTGTGCTGCACATAGTTATGTTCTTGTTCAACTTACGAGGTTGCTTTGTTGATGTTTTTGGCCCAGACCATGAGAGAGAAGACTTTTTTGAAGCCTGAAAAAATTCAGTTTTCCATCAGGCCCTCTAATCTAATCAGTTAGATTTTCTTGTTCAATCTATCTGGTCCTAACTATGTGAGAGAAATGAGGTAAAAGCTGTTTCCATTTGAGTGACATTGAACGACCCAGACTGTGTTTCTAATTGTCTCTTTGTATTTCTGGTATAGCACTTGAATGACTAGGAAAAGTTGCATAATTATACAGGGTGATTCAAGGATCTGGTTCCTCCAAGTCCTATTCTCCACTGGTAGAAATGGATTTTGGAACCCCCAGCACATATTTTTAGTTTGATTAAACTCCTTGATTAAACCAGTGCAATCAGAATGCTTGTTAAGATAACAGTTAAACTAAGGAATTCAGCCTCATACTAGTTCCTGTTCATTGTGCTGTTATGCTTACAAAAACTAGGAATATTTTATGTTTCTCCTAAATTGGAGTATAAAACCTGTTGGTACATTGGAATCAGTGATAGAAGAGACAAATACGTTAAACTGTTCACTTTTAACAGAATATTTATTCACTTGTTTTCTGTGGCTTGTAGCTGTTTTCTTAATGTTCTGACTTTACAAGTGCTGAACGTGTCTGCTGCAAATAGGAAAGCAAAATGACCAACCAACAGGATTCAGATTTTGTTTTCTTAGATAACAACTTAATACCTGTCTCATGTAAATTATTTTTTGCTCATCAGTACCCATGATGAATTGATAGTTACAACTTCAAAAAGTCACATCTCATGGCTGGAAATAAGTACAAAACTTGCTGTAACAACTTTATCAAATTGGCCATTGCTGCCAAACATTACATGTTCCTGTTCAATGTGTATTGAGCAGTTGATGTTTTTTTTTAATTTCTGTATGCAAATTCAGACCGTTGTTTGTTATTATGCAATTTGTGCGTATAATTTACTTCATCTTAGAAGCTTTTTAGGCTCAGAACCTTCATATATGTAATTGAACAAAACCAAGCCCCTACTCTGAAACTTAATGGGGTTTTTCTTTACTTTTTACCTAACTATTTTGGTGACTTACTTCATCTATTCAGGTGAAAATATCATTGCTGTTGATAGGGATAATTCCAGCTTTAACATCAACAGTTTGTATGTGTCAGTCCTTTGTATCAAGGATGAGGGAACAGTAAATTTCCCATTGTCTGACATGATCAAGTTCTTAAACCTCTACATTGAAAGGACAGTATAGAAAGAGTGGTTCCCCTTGCTGTGGAATCTAGAGAAGAGGGGCAGCATTTAGGACTGAGATAAGAAATTTTGTTACTCCATGGGTTGCGCATCTTTAGAATTCTCAACCTCAAATATTTGTGGATGCTCCATGATTGAGTAATGCTGCATAGCACATTTCAACCCCACAATTACAACCGTATAGAAGTTCAAGGATAGCAGATACACGGGAACACCATCACCCATAAGTTCCCCTCAATCATTCACCATCCGACTTGGAAATATATCACTGTTCCTTCAGTGTTGTTGGGTCAAAATCTTGGAACACTCTCCATGATCCTGACTAGCATTGTGGGTCTACCTACAGCAAGTCGTCAGCCGTAGTTGAAGAAGGCAGCTCACCACACCTCCTCACAGGCAAATACGGGCAGGCAATAAATGCTGGCCCAGCCATTAATGTCCATATCCCATGAATGAATAAAAAAGACGTTCATTCCAACAGACCAAATATCTAAGGGGATCAGGTCTGAGGAAGTGAAGTGAAATTGAGGCAGATGATCAGCCATGATCATATTGAATGGTGAAACTGGCTTAAGGGGCCATATGGTCTACTCCTATTTCTCATATTCTTATCAACAGACTTAATGGGGAAGGAACAGGATTATTAATAACAACCACTTGTTAACAAAAGTACCAACAAAGTGGTAATGGAAACGTAGTCTTAGAAATTCTAAAGCCATTTTCCTAAATCTTGTTGTGTAACTTGCATGAAGATGGAGAAATACCCAGAAAAATGGCATGAGCAGTCATTTAAATTGCATCTCTGGGTGTTCTAATCTCTCTGGCTTTCAAATCCATAATGTTTACTGGACATCATCCATTACGAATGTTTTTTTGACTAAAAGTACAGGTGCTGTAAGCTTCAAAAATGTAAGCTTTTCCTATTGGCAGTCTTTGAATAATGAAATACATCCTTTTGAATTCTCTGAATTAGACCATTTTGATTTGATCTGCGAAATTAGAATTTGATCTGCAAATGGTAAACTTGAACATCATTTTCCATAGTTAGCTGAAATACTGAGTTATGTTCATTTATTATTTGTCAATCTTTATATTGATGTTTTGCTTAAATTGTTCATTTTGGACTGATTTGGTCACAATAAACTTACTAAGATATATAGATTTACAGATTTAATTCGACTACAATTTTTGATTAAAATTTGTATATTAATCTTTTATAAGCATTGGAGATTTTCTTGGAAAATCCTTACTTTTCAACTGACCAAAACCTGTAAGATTTTGGAGTAGATTTGTAGCTCGGGTTGTGGATGTTGAGGTTGGTTGGCTTGCCGAGCTGGTTTGTTGTTCCGCAGACGTTTCGTTACCGTGCTTGGTAACATCCTCAGTGCAGCCTCTGATGAAGCGTCAGTGTGTTTTCCTGCCTGGCTTTTAAACTCTGGAGTCCGTTGCGATGGATTGCCTCACTTCCGGGTTTCCTCCGTAGTGGAATATATATGGGGTCGAGTTCAGTGTGTTTATTAATAGCCTGCTTCGTGGAGTGCCATGCTTCCAGGAATTCTCATGCTTGTCTCTGCCTAGCCTGTCCCAGGATCTTGGTGTTGTCCCAGTCAAAGTCGTGGTTACAGAGGAAACCCGGAAGTGAGGCAATCCATCGCAACGGACTCCAGAGTTTAAAAGCCAGGCGGGAAAACACACTGTGACGCTTCATCAGAGGCTGCACTGAGGATGTTACCAAGCACGGTAACGAAACGTCTGCGGAACAACAAACCAGCTCGGCGAGCCAACCAACCTCAATGCCCAAAACCTGCTTTTGTTGCTGTACAAATTGTACTAAAGAATTTAGTTTAACTTACTCCAAATTGCAGAAAGTAATCACAAGGCTAAAACAAATGTGGAATTCTTTTAGATTGGCTGATTAAGTTTAGCAATCAGAAATTTTAAAAAAAATTTGTTTATTAGGGCTTTCACTCAAGTATATGCCTTTGGACCAACATTTCGTGCAGAGAATTCCCAAACCAGAAGACATTTAGCAGAATTTTACATGGTAGAAGCAGAACTTGCCTTCACTGAAAGTTTGAAAGACATTATGGAGGTAATGAATCAACTGTTAATAATATTGTACTGAATCCAGTGACTTTTCTACATTGTTCTCTGTGTGATCTAAAGCTGCTATACTTCATTAATCTGCTAATGATGACATAGCCATGTACCATAAATTACATTATAACATAGATTTTATTAATATTTTCTCACATCCTCCTCCTGCAGAAGCAAAAAATAATATCTTGATCCTCATTTATTGTCATCAATCCATAGCTTTTGTACATGACATAATTTGCTGTAATGATTTTGCAATCTTACTTTTCAGTTAACCACCAAATTAATTCTCAAATACTCAAAGTAAAGCATAAATCACCATTTCCTGGTTAAAATGTTAAAAGTATGTTTTTACTTAAATATATGTAACTTACAAGAGAGTCTTGTTTATTGTGATGCACGAAGAGAGAAGTATAGTAGCCTATTTTAAAACTCCAATTACTCACCCACAGTTCTGTGCACGCTTCATGCTGCCATTTTTAAATTCATGCAGCCTAACAATCATTTACTAGTCGCTCAATCACTGATGCCTTATTTTTCACAAAATTGGATACATCATCATTTGTGATAAATTGATTTTGCACATCTACCGCCTTGTGGATTCCCCCAATCTCCACCTCACTTCTCAACCACTAATCTACCTGAATATTCATTTTATTTAAAGCATTCGTGTACTCTAAAATATTGCCTAAAATGTCTGGCTCTGCATCTGTAATGATCTAACTTAATTTGCCAATTCACTTTATTTAGCTCCATTTTCATGCTGTCATAAGTGTCCTTATTTCAATTTAAAATATAAGCCTCAGGCCCACTCATCTCTTCCTCAAACTGAATATGAAATTCATTGTGATCACTGCTCCTGGGACCAACTCCACTATGAGTTGATTAATTCCCCTTCCATTATACTTGGTTTAGTGTAGCCTTCTCTCCTTCAGCTCCATAACATGCTGTTCTAAGGAAGTATTCCAGAAAATCATTTAAAAACTTCTCTTCTAGGTTTCTTTTGCCTATCTGATTTTTCCAGTGCATGTATAGCTTAAAATCCCTTACAGTTATCGTCGTACTTTGCTTCTCTTCATTTCTTCCTTGTCTTCCATCCTGCAACGTGATTTCTGTTAAGAACCCTGTACACCGTGCCCGTAGTGACGTATTGCTTGTATTGTTTCTCATTTCAACCAAAAGTGCTTCTACCTTTTTTTTAATTAAAGTTGGGTCTTGCCCCTCTATTGTGTTAAAACTGTCATCACCAGAACCATCTTGTCACTTTTTCTAACTTCCTCCTCGAATGTCCTGTACTCTTCAGTGTTCAGGTCCCAATTTGTCATCCTGCAGACATGTTTCTGTGAGAGCATAAGAACTAAGTGCAGAAGTGGGCCATTAGATTTATCAAGTCTGCTCTGTAATTCAGTGAGGTTGTAGTTGACCTAATAATCCTCAACTCCCTTTTCCTACTTTACCCTCACAACCTGACTGATTTAAAAATCTGTCTATCTCGACTTTTTATAGGCCAAATGATCCAGCCTCAACAGTCCTCTGCAGTAAAGAATTCCACATATTCACCACTCTGAGTGAACAAATTCCTCCTCATCTCTGTTCTAACTGGGCAGCTCGTAATTCTGTGATTATACCCACTGGTCCTAGACTCTCCCACAAAGAAACAAACTCAACATAATGGTAGAACATAAGAACAACAGGGAACTCCAGATTAGTGTATACAGAAAGACCACACATATGGACCAGATACCTAATTACACCAGCAACCACCCCAACGCCCATAAATGGAGCTGCATCAGGACATTATTCAAACAAGCCATAACATACTGCAGCATCCTGAAATTGTGCAAAGCAGAACAGGAACACTTTTATAGGAGTTTTTAAAAGGAATGGATACCCAAAAAGCACAATCCGCCATTACCTCCACAATAGACCGCAACAAGAAGACATAACATGGCCAGAGACACTAGTCACCCTACCATACGTAAGAGACATATCAGAGATGACCACAAGACTACTCGGACCTCTAGGCATCAGAGTAGCCCACAAACCAACCACCACTTTGTGACAGCTACTGATGAACGTAAAGAATCCCATACCCAGAACCAATAAAACTAACATAATATACAAAATACCATGCAAGGACTGAGAGAAACATTACACGGGCCAAACAGGAAGAAAACTGATAATAAGGATGCACGAACGTCAAGTAGCCATCAAGAGACATGACCAATTCTCACTGGTCTCATTACACACTGACAAAGGACACAAATTCGGCTGGGATAACACATCCATAAAAGCACGAGCCAAACAGACATGCCAGGGAATTCCTGGAGGCCTGGCATTCCAACCAGAACTCCATCAACAAACACATTGAACTGGACCAGATATACAAACCACTGAAAAACAGAACTGGAAGTAATGCCAACCACCCCAGCAAACCAAGGCGTATAAATAACAAGCAGGACAGAACAGCAATGCTTCACCGATGTGCACTGATGATGTTACCGAGCAGGGTGATGAAACGTCTGCAATCAAACTCACTGGATCGGTGAGCTTGTCTACAACCTGAGCTACAAATCTTCTCAAAAACATTAAACAAACTTCATATCTCTACCCTGTCAAGACTCCTAGGAAACTCTAATGTTTCAATAAGGTCATCTTTCATTCTTCTGAATTTCAATGCGTATGGGGCAAACCTACTCAACTTCTCATAAAATAATTTCTCCATAACCAAAATTAAACTTTTCTGGACTGCATCCGATGCCAATATACTTTTCCTTAGATAAGGGGACCAAACTGTTCACAGTATTCTCGGTGGAGCCTAACTAGTGCCTTGTCCAATTTTTATAAGTCTATTATTTTTTTGCTCCATTCCCTTTGAAATAAAGGCCAACATTCTGTTGCCTTCTATATTAACTGCTGAATTTGTATACTATCTTTTTGTGATTTCTACGTGAATACTCCTAAATACCTTTGTGCTGCAGTTTTCTGCACTCTCTGTATTTAAATAATATTCAGCTCCTGTATATTTCCTGCCAAAGTGGGTGACCTCACATTTTCCCAAATTATGTTCATCTCTCAAGTTTTTGCTCACTCGCTTGAACTCTCTCTATCCCCCTACAAACTCTGTGTAATGCTCACTACTCGTCTTCTCACCTATTTTTGTCCTCCACAAACTTGGCTATAATACATTCACTTCCCTCATCAAAGACGTTCATATATATTGTAAACAGTGTGGCCCGAGCACTGATCCCTGCGGCATTCTATTAGTTAGAGGTTGCCATTCCTGAAAATTAGCTCGTTATCCAATTCTCTCTTTCATTAACTAGCCAATCCTCTATCCATGTTAATATACAACCGACAATGCCATGGGTACTTGTGTTATTAAGTAGCCTTGCAAGTGGTACCTTATCAGATACCTTCTAGAAATCCAAATATGTTAGATCCACAGGTTTCCCTTTATCGTGCTTGTTACCTCCTCAGAATGAGTTTGTCAGGTACAATTTCCCCTTCATGAAGTCATGTGACTCTTCTTGATCAAATTACGTGTTTCTAAATGCTCAGCTCTTGTACCTCTTATAATAAACTCTTAATATTTTCCTAACAGCACATGTTACACTAAGTGGCCTATTGTTACCTTTTTTTAATCCCTCCCTTCTGGAGTAAAGGTGTTACATTGGCAGTTTCCAGTCGTCCAGAGTATTAGCGGTGTATCCTCTATCACTTCTTCCTTTAATATACTGGAATGCATCCCATCAGGTTTTTTTCTCGTGATAGTTATTGTATTCATTTCCTCTTCCATGTTTTGCCCATTTGATTATTTAGTATTTTCGGAATGCAATTAGTCTTCTCCTGTAAAGACTGCAAAGAATTTCTGTACCATTTTCTGGTTCCCCAAAATTAATTTGTCCTCCAAGGGACATATAATCACTTTACCCCTTTGCTTATTTAAATATATAAAAGTATGCTGTTGCTATCTGTCTTGATATTATTTGTAATTACTTGCAAGATACAGTGCTCCTTAGACTTTTTAGTTTATTTGGACAGCACTTTCCATACCCATAATCATTACCGTTCAGAAGGACAAAAATGATTGATACATGGAAGCACCACCACTTGCAGGTTCTCTTCCAAGCCATTCACCATCCTGACTTCGAGCATCCCTTCAATTTCCAAGGGTCAGAATCCTAAAAATCCCTTCCTGATAGCATTGAATGTACTTGCACCAAATGGATTGCAGACGTTCATGAAACCAATTTACCAGCATCTAGGGGTGGGCAGTAAATGCCGGTCTAGCCAGCAAAACCCATATCCATGACTTTTTTTTTTTTAAAAGACTCTTACTAACCTGGATAAGTGCAGCTCCAACAAACTCTAAGCTCAACAACATCCAGGCCAAAGCAGTCTGCTTGATGGTCGCTGTATTCACAACATAAACATTCAGTCCCATTGACTATCGAGACATAGTGGCAGCAATATTCGACATCTACAAGATGCATTGCAGCATTTCAACTAGGTTTCTTTGATACCACTTTTTGGGTGGTGGATGCCAAGTGCTTGGAAGGATGAGCAGCAGAGGCATGGTACCACTACCTACAAGTTTCCCAACAAGCCAGGTCCTGTTGTTATACCGCTGTTCCTTCACTGTCGCTGGATCAAAATCCTGGAACTTCCTTTGACCAGTGCTTGCATATTGAAACCATACAGACTACAATGATGCCAAATAATGGTTTGTTACCACCTTCAAGAGTGGTTAGGGATTGTCAACAATTGCTGGCCTAACCAATGATGCCCACACTCTATTCTTAAAAAAAAAAAGTCGGTTCAAAGTGATTTGGCAAATGTTTTAACTTCTCAGCTTGTGCCAGTGTGGTTTTCTTGAGTAATTTTGTTCTGGAGCTTTAATTTCCTTTCCAACCTGCCATATAGTAATGCCTTGTCTATGGCATTGTACATTGGCATACTGAAATACAGCATCCTGCAGATAATTTTCAGATAAAGTGGAGAAAAAATTTTTGCAATAATACTTAAAATACTGTGGACTTTCAAGTTCATTCTGAAAACGTCTAAATCTGATATTTATTAATTTCACTAGATTGTGTAAAGCATAACATGCTGTTCTGTTGTACTCTTTAACCCAGAGGCCAGAGGCATGAGTTCAAAACCCACTTTGGTGCTAGCAATTTAATTTCAGTTACTTAAACCTGAAATAAAAAGCCAATAACAGTAATGGTGACCATGAGACTAAAAGGGGGAAAAAATTCATCTGGTTTATTAGTATCTGTTAGGAAAGGAAATCTATTGTCCTTATCTAATACAGTCTGTATGTAACTCCAGGCCTGTGATAATGTTGTTGACTGTTAATTGTCCTCTGAAATGGCACTTGAGCCACTGAGTTGTATCAAAGCACACAATTTACTCCCATCTTCTCATGGAAAATAAATGCTGATTTTGGAGGTGTTGTCCACATTCCTTGCATGAAAAGACTTGTCTTTCCTCTAGTCGATTGATTTAAGACTTGATTTCAGAATAACTGCAATGTTTGCCACTGGCTTTGACAATATTATCTAATTTCTCCAGGTAATGGAGAATCTCTTCAAGATCACAACTTCACATATTCTTTCAAACTGTCCAGATGATGTTGAGCTCTTCCACAAAAATGTAGCTCCTGGACAAAAGGTATTGTATATCCGTCTCCAATCTTGTAGATTAATCTTCAGTTTTTCTGCAATGAAATTTATACAAAGACAAGGATGATGGAGCATTGAGAAACCACATAATTTCTAGCAGTTTTTGTACATCTATCTTAAAATTATGAAAATCTGATGAAGCAAAATTCCAGACTTATAAAATCATGAATACATGGCAGTTTTAACAAAGGTGCCAAATCCAAAATATTTTTGTATCCTTTTGTCCACAGGTGCTGCCTGAACAGAATATTAAGATTTTCTGTTTTGGAAATTTCCATCACCAATAATTTTGGACTTTTTTGTTTGTTAGTATTCCGAGTTTATAATTTCTACCCCAGAAAGTTAAAGCATCCCTTTGATTAAGATATAAAAAGTGATTATCAATTTTAACACCACATTCATAATGAATATAAATAATTTTAATGCTTTTACATTAATAAATTTTTTTCTGCTTCTGAATTGATATGTTAAGAATTGCAAAGTGTCACTGGAAATATATAATTCCAACTGAATTGAAAACAAATTAGTGTAGATGTTAGAACTAAGAAATAAATGTTGAAACTGTTAGAAATTCTCAATAGGCCATATAGCATCCGTAGGGAGAGAAATGCAGTTAACTTATCCGGTCCATAAACTTCCATCAGATCTGCAAGATGTTTTGAGATGATCAGCTTCTAAGCTAATACACATTAGGGAATGAGAAGGGGATATGAGGGGCGGCACAGTGCTCCCTCACAGGAACCCAGGATCGATTCCAGCCTTAGGTGACTGTGTGGAACTTGAACATTCTTCCCGTAACTGTGTCAGTTTCTACCAGGTGCTCTGGTTTTCTTCCAACAGTCCAAGGATGTACAGTTTAGGTGGATTGACCATGCTAAATTGCCCATAGTATCCAGGAATGTGCAGACTAGGTGGATTAGACATGGGAAATTCAGGGTTACAGGGATAGGGTTGTGGGTGTGTGATAGAACACCCCACCCAGATCTTCGGAGGGTTGGTGCGGACTGATGGGCTCAATGGCCTGTTTCCACACTGCAGGGATTCTATGATTTTTTGAGAATGATAGGAACTGCAGCAGGTTCATGATGGAACAAGGCAAAAGATGGTGATAATATCTTTTTTTCTCTGTTAAAGCAAAGTCCATGAGCTGGTGAGGAATTATTTTTAAGGAAAATTCCATTCTATTTTTCCAGTCTTCTACAAAAGGATTAGTGACTAATTATGGACATTTTATTCCTAGGAAAGGATGGAACAGATGCTGAAAAATTCATTTCAAGTGTAAGTGAGTTATTTCTCTTATAAAAATTCAATGGATTTTTAATGTCTGTAAATTTTTTTTACATGTTTGCAGCAGAATGTAGGTTTGGCATCCTCTCTTTCTACATGGAAGCTTTTTTTAAATGCATCTTTTCGTTTTTCACTTTTGATAACAGACTTGTAATGGGGTGGCACAGTGGTTGGCACAGTTGTCAGCACAGTTGTCCTCACAGTGCCAGGGACCTGGGTTCTAATACAGCTTCGGGTAAACGTCTGTGTGGAGTTTGCACATTCTCCCCATGTCTGCATGGGTATTCAGCTGGTGCTCCGATTTCCTCCCACAGTCGAAAGATGTGCAGGTTGGGTTGATCAGCCATGCTAAATTGTCTGTAGCATCCAAGGATGTGTAAACTAGGTGGATTAGCCATGGTAAATGCGGGATTACTGGGATAGGTTGGGAGACTGGGTCTGGGTGGGACATTCTTCAGAGGGTCGGCGCAGCCTCGATAGGCCAAATGGCCTCTTTCTACACTGTAAGGGGTTCTGTGATTCTATGCGTGATCATGTTAATATTGCCTAAAGGAAATACATGTTGAAAAAGGCAGTCTATAAGGTTGCAAATCCCCTAGATTTGATAATTGTGGTTAATCAAAATGTTTGGCAAATATAACATTTTATTCAATATAACTGAAATATAAATATATTTTTTAGGCTTTCCTATACTGAAGCAATTGACATTTTGCAGCGAAGCACGGAAACCTTCAAATTTGAACCAAAGGTAAAAAATGTGGCCTGAAAGTGGAATCATTTTATGAAATTACAACAGTGATATTGGACATGTAATACTTGGAGATATTAGATGGCTTTTCTAGACTACTTTATTGAAAATCTAATTCCCAACTGTTAACTAGTGATTTTAATACTTCTATAACAAACAGTTAACATTTGTTATGTTAAGCCTAGTTTTTTTTCAAAATAGTTAAAATCAAAAAAATCACTTGTTCAAACTGCTTCATTTCAGTTCCCCAAATTAATTCAGTATTGGGACAAACATTTAAAGAAGTAATCCTTTGGCCATAATTTTAACATTTGTAGATAAAACATTTTTGTTGTATATCTTCAGCAAACTTGTTCTCATTCTTTGCTTCCTCAACATGGATTTTGGAAGCCAAATTGTAATAAAGTATCTGGAGTTATTGTTCACATTCCACCTTCTTCACTGCTGAGTATCCCTACCTTTTTTTGTCTTTAAACCTTTTTACTTCTGTTTCTTGTCTTCAATGTTTCGCTTTCTTCCTCAGACGACGACTTTGTTGCTTTCAATTGCTTTTAGCATTATTCTGTCCATTTATTTTCATATCCAAATGCCAAGGTAATAAAAATGAAGGCTGTAACAATGTTAGACAGCTTTATTGGCTATATTTCAAGCTTCGCTAAGCACAGGAGATAGAAATGCATTCTCCAAATTCGTATTCCCATGAGGATTCCCGTAAGAATGGAAAATATATTGTGCACAGTTTAAGTAAATTTCGACAAGAAGTATTTCTTCAGTGTGTATTCTAGTAGAGCAGGCTTTACAGTACATACATCAATTTAGTTGCCTTTTACTGAAGTGCTTTTATTTAATTCTAACCCATCTGCTTAAATGCAGATGCGGTCTGAAAAGGAACTAGTGGCAGTAATTTCTACAGTTTTTGTACTGTGTAAGAGGAAGTTCTGAAGTAAACTGCAGGACTGGACTTAAACACAAAATAGGTATTTTTCAATGTTTTCCTGATTTCTGAAGTTTTCTGGCCAATTTGCAATATTAACTCCCTGTAATTCAACACAGTGATAGCCATATATGCCACTGTGCTTGTCATGAACTGACATGCCAATAAATACTTCTGCTCAGATTTAAAGCAGTTGTCAGTATTGAATTCCAGACACAACCTTCAATTTCTTAAATATGACTTCCACTTATAATTGGAAAATACTTATTATAATTAATGGATTATGAATTTGCATGTTTGTCACTGCGCAATGTTTTCTCTTAAGCTAGACAAAGCTGATCAGGGTTTTTAAATAGAAAAAGATTGTGATTGTAAGTATAGCTGAGTATGACAAATTGTTTTATGATGTGAATTGAAAATTCTTTTTATGAATGATGTGCATAATGTGTTCACTACCTGTGATCAAGTGTAACAAATATTTCTAGCGGCAACCAGGACAGTAAGACTTGTCAAATCTCACAACTTTACACAGTACAGCTGTAGGTGTTCAAAACTTGGCACTTCTCCTGTTGAACTGAGCATGTTTCTTCAACTTCCCTATGTCTAGTTCTTTCCAGTTGATGCTACAGACAAATACTTGCAAATCCATACAGAAGGAAAGTTAGTCCACGTAATTCTGTTTTAGTTTGATTCCTATTATTGAGCAATAGCTTCTTGAAAACAAAATACGTGCATAATTCCGATTAAAGGAATTCCTTTACAAATAAATACTAAAATTAACGTGGCAGTCATGGATATTTGAAAGCAAATCTGATGTATAATTTAAACAAAGTGCATAAATGTGTTGCTTTCCAACTCCTTCATTTGTCATGAAACTGAAACTGTAATTTCATTGGAATGGCATGTTTGCCATTGTGATCATTTATAATGAGATGGGGATAGTACTTGCATGACATTTCATCTGGTAGGCAGGAAGCAGGTTTCTCAAATTTTGTTTCAGCCATAATGTATTTTAGTAGGCATCTTGAGTTACTTAATGAATTGTTTCAAGCTGGAAAGCTTTGCTTATAATAAGTTAAAATGTTAAAATGATAATGGAGTAGTATTTCATTTAAAAAGATGCTTCCAAATTATCTTTTTTTAACTAAAGTTGAAAGGATGTTGTTCTTCAATTATTTTTGTTATTGAATGTAATTATATAAAAGCTGTATGCATCTGCATGTACTGTATGCATTATCTTTGAAACGGTGCTGAAATAAATATTGACTGTCATCTTTTACAGTGGGGCTGTGACCTACAGACTGAGCATGAGAACTGTCTGGTACGGCACTGTGGCAATATCCCTGTTTTTGTGGTTAATTATCCTTATGACATCAAGCCCTTTTATGCCAGAGATAATCAAGATCATCCTCAGCATACAGTAAGCAGAAATTGGATGATTTATGTATTGAGCATTGTAATATCTAACATAAGCTCATTAACTCATCTTCTCTGGTGATGGGAGACATAATGGTTCAAAATCTACTCATCTTTCAGATTCTAACTGAATGTAGCCTCTTGCACTGTTGTTTGTTTAACCAGAATATGTTCTGTAACAATGGTTTAAATAAACTAAATAACAATCTATTCAGGAAGATTTTTGAGAAATGACAAAATGATTACACCACGCTGCTACAAACAGCATTATGATACAAGTATACGTGTTATCTCCCTTTCATCTTCATTTTCACCTTATTGGAAGAACTCATCTTTTTGTACAACTACATATTTTTAATTGTCAGTTTTTCTCTTGCATATTAAAGACTATTAAAATTTGAGCCAAAAGTATTTCTGCAGTGTATAAAATAATTAAAGAAAAGACATCCCAAAATAATATGGACAATGTGCATGTTTAAATTTGATACATCCTCCAAATTATTAAGATTAAAATAAAATGCAAATACACATTACCATGGTTAAATTATATTACTATTGAAAGGTATGAAAATTGTCCTAAAGTGCACCACGTAGAATGGTGAATGTTAACTACAAGTTGTAAAAATATTGCATTATATGGATGAATTACCTTATTAAATGTTTGGTGCTTTCCTAAATGTGCATTTTCTGAGCATTATCAACAGTGAAATTTCAAGATCGGGACATAATTATAGCATAGCTCATCGGAGGAGACCATTTGATCCATTTAGTCTCTGCCAGCTCTTTTGTAGGATTACCCCTTCATCCCACTTTCCACTGCTTCTCATATCCTTGAGAGTTTTTCTCCTTTGAACAGTTACCCAATTCCTATTTAAAAGCTTCCTTTGAATTGGCATCCATCACTCTCTCAGGTACTGCTTTCCAAATCCTGACTACTGATTGTAAGAGGTTTTTTCCACTAAATCACCTTTAAATTTATTATCTCTCATTATTAACCCTGCAATCATTCAAAACCATTCTCTTTACTCACCAAATCTAAAGCTTTTCCTCATTTAAATGTCTCTTCAAGATTTCATCTAACCTTCGTTTTCGGTAAGCAGAACAGCCTCTGTTTCAGCAATCCTTTGGGTATTGTTAAGGCTAGCATTTATTATCCATTCCTAATTGCCCTTGATTGCAGTGAGCTGCTGCCTTGAACCATTGTGGTCCGTTTGGTGCTGATGCATCAACTGTGCAGTTGGGAGAAAATTCCAGGATTTTAACCCAGCAACCATGATGGAACAGCAGTGTATCTCCAAATCAGAGTTGTGTGATCTCAAAGGAGAGCTTCATAATTTATCTTCTATCCCTGAAATGATTCTAACAAATCGCTTCTGTAAAAACCGAAAGAATTGCAAATGCTGTAAATCAGAAACAAAAACAGAAATTGCTGGAAAAGCTCAGCAGGTCTGGCAGCACCTGTGGAGAGAAATCAGAGTTATTCACAGGGTTCTGAGGAAGGGTCACTCAACCCGAAACATTAACTCTGATTTCTTTCCACAAGTGCTGCCAAATCTCTTCTATACCCTCTCCAGTGCTTCATGTCCTTTCTCAAGTGTGGTGACCAAGAATTTGATATTTCTTGTAATTAATCTTGAGTGATCATTAAAGGTGAATTGAATAATGTCCTTGTATGATATCATCATTCAGTAATCCATTCTTGTTAGATGCGAGATCAAGAGCAGGAACTTGAACAATCTTCACCTTCCTAACCAAGAGAGACAATGTTAAATTATATTATCTGTTAAATCAGCACATTTGAAAATCAAATTTAAGTCCCCACTGGTATGTATGGCTGAGGTACTTAACTTTAGTGTCTTAACCAGTTAAGCCATTAGAGTCATTTTGAGGTGAAGAAATGGAAAATATACAGAGTAGGGTAAACAATTGTTTCCAATTTCATTTGTCATTACAGCAGATGTCTGTATCTATCCACCAGAAAGAATTTTATTTTGTATTGAATTTGGTGTCCAAAGAAATAAATTTTACTTTTACTTTGTTACAGTGCTATAATGCTTCAAAAATCAGTGTGTGTCTTACAACTAATTATCTTTATATAGCAAATTAAAAGATAGGAACTGGATGGGTATTAATGTGATGTCTGAGCACAAATGTTTTGTTATCAGGCTGAGGCTCAGAGGCAACATGATTGTTTGGCTCTCCTTTCGAATAGTTACTAATGTGAAACACTTGTGTTACTTTTACACTTGTGTTACATGACCTGAAGTCCATACCTGTATATACTCCAGATGAGCTACCTCCCAATTCCACGTCATCTAACTCTATCAACATATCCTTCCTATCCTTTCTTCCCTGTGTTATCTGACTTCTCCTTAAGTAAATACAAACCATTCACTTCAATGACTTCATGTGGTAGCAAGTTCCACTTTCCAAATTAGTATTTTCTTTTACACGAGGGGAAGATAATATTTGAATATAATAGGAAGGATAAGTGGAAGTGATCACCTGAATGTGATGCAATTAGTGGAATCAGTTGAAGTGAACATGGGGAAGGTCGTGTAGAAACGGTGCTGCAGAGATGTGATATAACTGAAATCTTTGCCAGTGAGGTACAGTAGATAGCCGGTAGCCCGGACTTGGTAAGATTAGCTGATGAAGGCTACAGAAAAGGAAAGGAGAAATGTTCTGAAGGAATGTCTAAACAGGGTCAATTAAAGTAGTCATTAAGTTAACTGCTAAATTCCAAAACATTTCCATCAAGTTTAGAATCTGGAATCAGTACACTGAAGGTAACTGATGAGTTTATTTTTCAATATGAGGACCAATAAGAAAATGCTTTAATGATTTTGCTAGTTCTCATTTGTCAGTATCAAAGACCCTGAACCCAGGAGCCAGAACATCAGTCCCATTGCTGCTTGGGTAATTGTCATACTTAACTTTGAAGCCTAGATTTCTCCGTTATTACGTCATGAATCAAGTATATTAAAATCACAAAATCCATCAACTGAAAGGGATAACTGATTTAAGCAACAACCTGTCATGGCCATGTTTCAGGATGAACAAACTGTCTAGATTTGTGAAACTGCTAATTCAAACCAGACCAATGACACAAAAATTCCCAGTCGATCAAAAAATAATAATTTGCTACATTTTTTAAACCACGGACTGAACATGAGTTTATTCATTTATTGCTGTGTCTACAAATACTTTGGAAAGTACCACTATTAATAATAAAATCTCATTCCCAACGGTGAGCTTGCATTAAGGAGACCTACAGGGCACAGGTTTAATTTTAAAAATCTGCTACAAAGCAGACTGAACTAAAAGCTGCTCCTGAACATAAGAAATAGAAGCAGAAACAGGCCATTTGATCTCTCGAGTCTACTTTTCCATGCAATAAGATCATAGCTAATTTAGTGTGCCTTAACTGTACTTTTTGCCTCAAGTCCCTTGTGGATAAAGAATCTGTCCAATGGTCCTCTGAGCAAAGAATTTCTATTCCCACCACCGTGGACAACCTCACATTTTCTCGTATGATAGTTCACATACCAACACTTTGGCCGCTTGACGTATCTGGATGTATTGGCAGGATGAAATAACTGGAAATTTTATTATAACTTCAAATGCTTTACGTAATCTCAGCATTTTGTGGTATTATCTGCTAGGTGGCAGCTGTCGATCTTCTGGTGCCTGGAGTAGGAGAATTATGTGGTGGAAGCTTGAGGGAGGAGCGACTTGATCTACTGCAATCTCGCCTAAAAGAGTAAGCATTGATGTCAAAGTAGTACATCCACAAAAACAATGCCAGAAGTACATTTATGACTACTCGTTTTGTGAGTTTTCTACTTTATTTGTGACTCAGTCACATACATTCATTCATTTCAGTTGCTACTTAATGCACAACCTAAGAAAAAGCTTTCAATCCTGCTCAAGTTTGCTGACTGGAACATAAGATAGTTTTTTTTTTTACAATTCAAATATGACAAACAATATGTAAATCTACAGTAATACAATATTTACATTACCAACTTTAAAAACCAATAAAATGCAGGCATATGCACGATCTCAGATATGAACATCTTTTGTCTTTAGCTTTCTGTTGGATGTGAAACAAATTTCTTCACCATTGGGTTTAATCAAAACCTATGTCAATTGTGCTGCATCTTCTTTTACAGGAGGAGATGCTATTACAACTTACCCTTTTATTTCCTTTTCCTATTCCAGTTGTACCACTGGGGTCTGATGTATACACATTTAGAAATGTGTGAATTCCATTATTATAGGAGGTTGCTCTGGGGCACAACATGAAAGGGTAGAGGTAAACAGGACCTCAGTGATAGGAGACTTGATAGTTAGGGAGACAGACAGGAGATTCTGTGGCCGCAAACAGGAATTCAGAATGGTGTGTTGCTTCCCAAGTGCCAGGCTTCAGGATGTCTTGGAATGGCTGCAAAACGTTCTCAAGGGGGATGGTGAGCAGCCAAAAGTCATTGTGCACATTGGCACAAATGACCTAGGTTGAAATAAGGATGAGGTCCTGCGGAGTGATTATAGAGAGCTAGAAGAAAAATTAAAAACCAGGACTTCGACAATTGTAATCTCCGATTTCTTCAGTGCCACGTACTAATGAGGGTAAGAACAGGAGGATATAGCAGATGAATGCGTGGCTGAAGAATTGGTGCAAGGGGTAGGGATTCAAATTACTGGATCATTGGAATCTTTTCTGGGGCAGAAGTGACCTTTTTAAGAGGGACAGGTTGCACCTGAACTGCAGGGGACCAATATCCTGGCCGGCAGATTTGCTAGTGCTACAAGGGAGGGTTTAAACTAGATTGGGAGGGGGTTGAAATCCTCAACAACAGGGAAGCAAGTGCGAGGCTGGAAGGAGATACAGTCATCAGAAATAGCAAGGTGAAGATACAGGTCATACTGGAATATTACAGGGATCAAGGAATGCCTGTTGAATTAATTTGCATCTATTTCAATACAAGAGGGCTGACAGGTAAGGCCGATGAACTCAAGGCGTGGATAGGTACGTGGGACTGGGATATGATAGCTGTTACAGAAACATGGCTAAGGGAGGGACAAGACTGGCAGCTTAACATGCCAGGGTACAGGTGATTTAGGCAGTTCACAGGTGGTGGAAAGAGGGGACGGGGAGTTGCATTTTTGATTAAGCGGAATATCACAGCAATCGTCAGAGATGAAGTAACTGAGGGATCATCCAGTGAGGCTTTGTGGGTGGAGCTAAGAAATAAGAAGGGGATGGTGATGTTATTGGGATCGTACTACAGGCCCCCAAATACACAACAGGAATTAGAGGAACAAATATGTAGAGAGACTGGGGAGATTTGCAAGAGCAATAGGGTTGTCATAGTAGGGGATTTTAATTTTCCTAACATAGACTGGGACTGTCATAATGTTAAGGGCTTAGATGGGGTAGAATTCGTTAAATGTGATGAGGAAAGTTTCCTCAAGCAGTATATAGAGGGTCCCATTGGGGAAGGGGTAAACTCGACCTACTCTTGGGAAATAGGGCAGGAGAGGTGACTGAGGTGACAGTGGGAGAGCACTTTGCGACCAGTGACCACAGTTCTATTAATTTTAAAATAATTATGGAGAGGGACAAACTGGTCCATAGGTTCAAGTTATAAAATTGGGGCAAGGCAAATTTTGATGGAATTAGACAGGAGCTTGCAGGGGTTGATTGGAGCAGTTTGCAGGCAAATGTATAAAAGTGGATAAATCTCCTGGTCTGGACCAGATATATCCAAAAACCCTGCAAAATGGTAGAGAAGAAATTGCGAGCACCCTGGCTGATATAGTTGTATCATCATTAGGCATGGGTGAGGTCCCGGAAGACTGGAGGGTAGCGAACATTGTGCCTTTATTCAAGAAGGGCTGCAAAGAAAAGCCTGGGAATTATAGACCAGTAAGATGAACATTTGTTTTAGGTAAGTTACCTGAGAAGATTCTGAGGGTTTAAGATATACGTGCATTTGGAAAGACAGGGTTCGATAATGAGCATGGTTTCGTGCATGGGAAATCATGCCTCACAAATTTGTTTGAGTTCTTTGAAGTGGCCAGGAAAGTTGATGAGGGCAGGGAGGTAGACAAAGTCTATATCGACTACAGTAAGGCCTTTGATATAAGGTCCCACATGGTAGGCTGCTCTGGAAGGTTAGATCCCATGGAATCCAGGGCAAGCTGGCCAAATGGATACACAATTGGCTTGAGGTTAGGAAGCAGAGCATAATAGTGGAAGAATGCTTGTCGGACAGGAGGCCTGTGACTAGCGGTGTGCCTCAGGGGTCGGTGCTGGCCCCATTTGCTGTTTGTTATCTATATCAATGATTTGGATGAGAATGTACAAGGCATGATTAGTAAGTTTGCAGATGACATTAAAATAGATGGTATCGTGGACAGTGAGGAAAGTTATCAGAAATTGCAGCATGATCTTGATCAGCTGGGGAAGTGGGCCAAGAAATGGCAAATGGAGTTTATTATACATAAGTGTGAGGTGTTGCATTTAGAAAGTCAGCTCAAGGTAGGAGTTCCATGGTGAATGGTAGAGCCTTAAGGAGTATAGTGGAAGAGAGGGACCTTGGAGTTCAGATTCACGGTTCTCTGAAAGTGGAGTCACAGATAGACAGGGCAGTGAAGAAGGTTTTTAACACACTGGCTTTCATCAGTCAGGATGCTGAGTGTAGAAGTTGGGAAGTTATGTTGCAGTTGTACAGGATGCTGGTAAGGCTGCACTTGGAGTATTGTGTTCAGTTTTGGTCACCTTACTATAGGAAGGATGTTATTAAACTGGAAAGGGTGCAGAAGAAATTTATAAGGATGTTGCCAGGACTCAAGGGACTGAGTTAATAGGGAGAGGTTGGACAAGACAGTACATTTTTTCTTTAGAGCATAGGAGACTGAGCGGTGATTTTATAGAAGTGTATGAGATTGTGTGAGGCATGGAATAGGGTGAATGCACTCAGTCTTTTTCCAGGGTTGGGGAATCGAGGACTCCAGGGCATCAGTTTGAGGTAAGAGGGGAAAGAATACATGGGAACCTGAGGGGCAACCTTTTCACTCTGAGCTAGTATGCATATGGAATGAGCTGCCAGCAGAAGTGGTTGAGGCAGGTACATTAACAACATTTAAAAGGCATTTGGACAAATAATGGATAGGAAAGGTTTAGAAGAATATGGGCCAAGGGCAGGGAAATGGGGTTAGCGTGGATGGACATTTTGGTTGGCATGGACCAGTTTAGGCTGAAGGGCCTGTGTCAGTGCTGTCAGACTCTATGACACTAACGTACAAACGAGACTATAATGAGAGATGGTTGCATTTTCTTTTTTTGACATTTTATCAGTCTGAATTTAATGGAATGAAAATTTTGCCTCAAGTACTTGCAATGTGTTATCTGTATCTAACAATTAATTATAAAACAGAATGCAGTTGTACTCACCTGACATCTCCCACCCTGATTAGTTGGTTTAACTGTGCAGAATGTCTGTTGAATTTAACATGATATTCTCCTCTGGCTTTTAATTTTGATGTTCATCAATTTGAGTCAGCCAGAAAGGGTCACAGTTCTAGATTTACTTTTAGGAAATGAAGCAGTCCAAGTGAATGAAGTAGTAGTGGGTGGCCATTTTGGAGGTAGCGATCATGATACAGTTAATTTTAGCATAATTATAGAAAGGGACAAAGTTAGAATAGAAGTAAACGTTCTAAATTGGGGGAAGGCAAACTTTGAGATTGGGAGATGAACTGGTAAAAGTGGACTGGTTACACCTACTTGAAGGAAAAGGAAAATCGGTGGCAAATCGATCAGGGATTTAAGAGCAAGAATTTTATTGGGCAAGGTGTAGATATGTTCCCACAAAAAAATGGGCTGTCCAGAAGCTGGCAGAATAAGAGAAAAGAAGGAAAAATTACAATCTCTAAAAACAAAACACTTCTGGAAACTAAACGATTATAGAAAGGACAGGTGTGGAATGAGAAAGGCAATTGGGAAGAAAAGAGGATTAGAAAAGATATTGGTTGGTAAAGTTAAGGAACATCCAAAAAATCTTTTATCAGTACATTAAGAGCAAGAGGATAATGAAAGAATGGCCTGTGCCTTTCAGAGAATTACTGGGACTGGATCCTTCATGAGTATTTTGCCTTTGTGAGGACAAAGAAGAGGGGTGATGCACAAATTACAATTAAAAAAGAGAAGTGTGAAATGTTAGATGAAATAAGCATAATGAGAAGGGAAGTGCTTGAGGGATTGACCTCCTTGAATGTTGATGATTTGTATTCTAGGCATTTGAAAGAAGCCAGGAGAGAAATAACGGATGTTCTGAGGATTAATGTATCCAACCATGCACTCACTAGACAGAGCACTGATGGATCAAATGCATGTATTGGGGTTGTAGACTTGCTTGCCGAGCTGGTGGGTTTGGTTGCAGACATTTCGTCACCCTGCTCGGCAACATCAGTGCTCCTCCGGTGAAGCGTTGATGTTCTGTCCCACTTGTTATTTATATGACTCGCTTTGCGGAGGTGGTTGGTATTACTTTTGGTTCTGTTTCTCAGTGGTTTGTATATCGGGTCCAGTTCATTGTGTTTGTTGATGGAGTTCTGGTTGGAATGCCAGACCTCCAGGAATTCCCTGGCCTGTCTCTGTTGGCTCGTGCTATTATGGATGTGTTGCCCCAGTCGAATTTGTGTCCTTCTTTGTCCATGTGTATTGAGACCAGTGAGAATTGGGCGTGTCTCTTG